GGGGGAGAGGTGGGAGAGGGAGAAGGGATTGATGTGTGAAATTATAATTTTGTAAAAATTAAATAAAAAAGAACTGATAGGTACAACATGCTAAAATTGGAAACACATTAGACTGAACAATAAGCACACCCCAAAGTAAAAAAAAGTACTGGCCTACCTGAAAGTTAGTATTCCTTCCTATATCAAGTTTTCTTAATATAAGATCCAGATATGTTTTGGGTAAGAAGAAATAGATATATAAAACAGAGAAAAGAAATTAAGGACTCAGAAGCAAATTCAAAATAGCATGGGAAGAAGTTCTTAATTCTACCATAATTTTCCCCAGTCACCTTCTAAGGTACTCTGAGATATGTTACAGGTATAAACGTAGGAGGAGTAGGGCTGGCAAGATGGTTCAGCAAGTAAAGCTCTCACTGTATAAGCCTGGCAATCTGCATTTGGTCCTTGGAACACACAGTGAAGGAAAGAACTCACTCACTAAAGTCATCCTATGACAAACACAAGGGCACTGTGGTGCACATGTACCCCAGTTCACATACAATATACACACATGTACAACCACATAATAATAACAATGATGATAATGAACATTCAAAAATCAATCTATGGAAGGAACCTTTGCAGGCTATATGACAGACAAAGGCTTTCTAAAATGGACTGTCATGATGAGACCTGAATGCCAATCCAGAAAAGTGGGTGTGGTGTCCAAAGCTCAGCAACCAGACTGTAAATATCACCTGACTGCTGCAAGCACCCTGACCAGAATCTCAGTTACTTTCAAGAGGCTCATAAAAATTCCTAGAGTCCTGGGGAAAGAAAGAAGGCTGGAAGCAATGAGTCAAATGGAAAGACCACTGCCACAGCCATTTCATTTTAGAGTCCTGGAAATGTGACAACATCATGAACTGTGTTTCTGAGGTGAGATATTCCAAGCTCTAGAAAGCATTTGCATGGACCTGGCCCCTACTGATAGCTAACTTTCTCTACACTCTTTCTTGTAGCCTTTGGAACATAGCTGGAATCTATGCTCCAAGAAATATTTTTAAGGTCTACAATGAATAAGACAAAGCTAATTTGACCTGCTACTCCCAAGCTTTTTAGTATTTAATACCTACTCGGTCATCCTGGAATGGAGAGAGAAATGCACAGACAGAAGGATTCTATAAATGAAAGTTTTCTGCGGCTACCCTGTGACTACACTACACTGCTTCCAACTATCTGTCACCACCTTTGCATAGGACTCCCAGGGTCTCTCAATAGACAAAGTCAATGTCCCTGACCCATCACAAGGCCTAGAACCATGGTAGACTATGAGACTATGTGACATAGCCCTACCTTTATGGAAGCTTTAAGTGCACCTGTATAGATCTGATGAAGTCTCTTTTACTCCTGGATCTGCTATGGGAACAGCATGTCCCGAACAGAAGCTGTTTTTTCAACTTAGGTCACAGACTAAGAAGACATTTGCCATGCAAAGCAAAATACAGCCACAGCCAGCCTGTAGATCCAGGACTGAGAAATAAATGTTTGCTCTTGTAAACTGACTTGGGGTTCTTTGTGACTGCAGCAAAGCTGACACATTCAGAAACCGGTAAACAAGGTGGTATTGTGTTGCATAACAACGTCAAAGTCTCTGTGACTTACAGCAACAAGTATTCATTTCCCAGCTTGTGTTACATATCACTGGGATCAGGTCATCTTCCATGCTGGTGTCCCAGGTCTGTCCTGCTGTCTTCTCATTCTTGATCTCAGGTTGAGGATGGTATATCTCATGGTTGAAATATGCCCTTCTCATAACAGAGGACATGGCAAGAAGAGGCTGGATATCTTTCTAGAAGAGTCTGATGGAGGCCTGCAATGCCGCTCAAAGACCTGGTGGGCCTGCAATGCTACTAGAAGAGCCTGTGAAAGCTGCAGGCTTCTAAAAGCTTCTACCCAGAAATCATATGATTAAGACCCAAATCAGTAAGAAGGATAAAACAGACATCATCCTTATGAAATAGAGAATAAATAATGGTGTGGATAACAGTAGACAGCACCCCGTGTATGGTCTCCTAGTTGTACCAGCTGAGCTTTGATAAGTTATGCTCCCTCATACCTGGTCCCCATTCTGTAAGGAAGGCACTAAATTTTGTAAAACTAAAGTTCTGGGAAGTTAGCACTTGTTGAAAATCATTTGGAGAGAGCTGGGAACACCAGAGTGTGTGAGAACAGAGCTGGGGTCCCAGTCCAGGATGGCAGGACTCTGAAACATTTCCCTTATCCCCACCCAGACTTGTGTGCTGGCTCTCTCATCAAGTGTTAAATACTAACTCAATAAGTGGGTTCCTTTCTATGGGAGCCAGCATTTGTCTAAAAAGGACTTTGGTAAGCAACCATTCTAAGTGAAAATAGGAAATATGAGGGCAACAGAGAAAATGCAAGAGGCCTACCAACACAGACTTAAGAAAAAGACTGGCAAGAATGAGCCCAACTATGAGAAGGAAAGCCCAGGGGACTAGAAAACAAATGGAGAGACTATAGTACTTCTGTACAGGAGCACGTATAAAAATAGCCTGCCTCAGGGGAAACTTTTACACTCTGATTCATAAGCAAAGCATTTGGGTGTTTGCCTCACCTTTAAAAGGTATACATTCAGGTTTGCTTTAAGCTGCCTGACACTATCACAACTGCACAACAGTGCCTGTTTTGCAGTCTCCTGACTTGAGCATCAGCTGCTTTTTAAAACCACACTATTTCCAGTATCCCTTCTCAAGACAGTGCAGGAGTCCTTGCTCATCTAAGCCACCATAATTGACTCTGCCTCCCACTTTCCACAATTTTAACCCCATTTCAAATATTAACATGCTATAACAATAATGTCAATTCTAAGATGTTATTTAATTTTTTAAAAGCTGGTTATTTCATTGTCCCCTGGAGAAGGGGAAAGGGTCACGATCCCCTGAGCAAATTGAAAGCATGGGAAGGGGGGGAGGGAGCTACAAGAATGAGAAGGGAAGAAGAGGAAGGATGCAGAGGTCATGAGGGAGCAGAAAGGTTGAGTCAGGTGAAGAATAGAAGAAAGGGTATGTGATAGGTAGGGTTTTAGTTGGAGGGGTGGTAGGGGAGGAAGGGAGGGAGAAGGGAACTGGGATTGTCATTAAATCAATCTTGTTTCTAATTCAAATAAAAAATGATTTTAAAAGCTGGTTATTTAATTAAAATTTAAAACATTAAATGCATAATTACACCTGGAGAAAGTATTCTAGCTATCAGGTAAGTAATGACAGCTGTGGAGTCTCAATGGGTCAATACTTGCAACAAAAAGCTAGAGAATGTCAGAGCTGGTCTCTAGCCCCCATAGCCAGGCTAGCACTGGAACACAGTTCTATGAACTAAGTCCAGTGCTATTGTGTTTGGGAATACTAGAAGTCACCTTTTTCCTTACACATAGTGGGAGAAAGAAATGAAAAAGAAAATAATGCAAATATTCTACCAGTTAAAAGAGCAACAATCTGATCCCATACAACCCAGGACTATCTAGTCACCTCACTCATTTTCCTCTTGTTGCCCCCAAATGTTGCCTTCTAGCTAACTATACACAATTTTCCAGAAATATGACTAAGCTATGTTCCACAAGAACAGATTTGGATATTTTCTTATAATTCAGAATGCCCAATAAATCACAAAGGGTCTGAGACATGGCTCAGCCTTTAAAAGCATTTACTGCTTACAGGGACCCTGGTTCAATTACCAGCATCTACATGGCAGTCCACAACCATCTGTAAGTCTAGTTCTAGAGGATCTAATACCCTCTTCTGGCTTCCACAGACACAAGGAACACATGTAGTACACATACATGTGATGGGGGAAATACTTCTGTGTATGTTTATAAATAAAGTACTTGCTTGGCCAATGAGACAACAGGTTAGGCTGGACTAGGAGTCAAAGAGGATTCTGGGAAATGTAGTAGAGAAGTGGTGTTCCAGAGAGGAAGTGACATAGCAAGGAGACTCATATTTAAGAAGAGGAAAAAGGAAGTGTCACTCTCTTTTCCCCTCGGCTCCTGCTCCAGCGGCACGATGTGATTCACCAACAAGGAGGGATGCCAATAAGGTGAAGATAAGTCCCATAAAATATATAGATATATGGTAATTGAGACTGAGCTAACAAATGAGAATCCTAGTCATTGGCCAAGCAGCTTTGTAACTAATACAAGTCTCTCTGTGTATTCATTTGGGCCTAACTCGTGCGGGCGGCTGGCCTAAAGCTCGAACGTGGCGATGGCACTCAGGCGGCTTTTGGCAAAAAGAATATCGTAACATACATGAATGCAAGCAAAAATACATATAAAATAAATAAATCTTTATACTAAAAGGTAGATTAAATCAATATACATTTACATGATACATTGCCAATTCATCTTAGAAACATCCTCTTGTTCATTCTCAGGCATCAATCTGGTTGATGATACTGACCAAGCATCTACTCTGGTCCCTATCACAGATAACCCAGGTGAAGAAATTATACTAATGCAGTACATGATTCTTCATGACAAGATATGGTCATTAAAGTCAACTCATGACCTTTAACACATTATAACTTATATGTGTGAGTAGATGAGTGACAGATACATTTGTTAAATTTAAATGAGCCAAAACATGACAAAAGAAGATCTAATTATAATAGACGGCATCATGTATCATTTGTTCAAAAGTTTTAATTATACAAAGAGAGACATTATGGCAGAAAAATTACACCATCGAAGTAAGAAAGATATGGATTCTAATTACTACAGTATGACATAGGCATCAACTTAATCTGAATCGCAAATGGCTAATCTTTAAATAACACAGTATTGAAAACATATTATATTCTTAAAGATTCAGAGTGATAATAGTTACTTACAGTCCATTGAACAAGGTTTAATATATTATAGGCAATAAAGTCTAGGAAATGTTTGACCTGGAAAGTGAGCTAATACATTTATAAATACTTTGTTGTTGTTTTGTTTTGAGACAGAGTCCTGGCTGCCCGGGAGCTCATTCTGTAGACTAGGCTGTTCTCAAACTCACAAAGATCTGCCTGCCTCTTGCTGGGACTAAAAGTGTGCACCACCATGCCTGGCTTATGAATCTTTTTACAGTGACAAGAATACTAGGTAAATATGGCACTCGAGTTTGGGTGGTGCTATTGGGTCACTGAGGCATCTCTGAGAACTCCAGCCACTTCTCTCTTGCTCCACCACATACTCCTGCCATGTGAGTTACCACCACAGCCATGGGGTCCAGATCACAGACTAGAACTTCCAAACTGAACCAAAGCCAGCTTCCATCTTTATAATTTCACTTAAATGACAGAAAATTGACCAACACAGATGAAATAAAATCATTTCTCTACTCTCTCCTCTTAAAGGCAACCAAAAGAATGAAAATGAGAAATGACTTAAAAAAGAAACTATAAGATCAATGCAAAAATAAAAGACATCTTCCAAATGCATTCAAACCAGAATAAGGTTTAAATAATACCTTCTGATACCGACTTCATACTCAAGGTAAGAATACATTTCTCTCAAAAAAGAAAATAAAACAAATGACCCTTTGATGAAAGTGGTATGCATTAGGGGCATGGAAAGCAACAGAACTAGTAAGGAATGGTCCCATGAAGAAATATCCTGGTTCTGCACCAAGGAAATTCCAGGTAAAATGAAGCTCGATAAGGAAGAAACACACAGGCAGACCATCTTGTCTGTGATCTAATTATCTTCAGACACTATCTGGGGTAGAGAAAAAAAAGCAGAGACCACCAGATCACAACACAGATAGCCTGACTTACAGAGCTTCAATGTAAGCCACACCAAAGCACTAGTGCCACAAACTGGGGAGACAAGCAGGCATAGACTATAAGGGGTGGGAGTGACACCAAGTGCTAGCAAAAGCTGCTGAGACTAATGAAAAATAAAAACACTAAAAATCTTCTGAGAAGCTTTGAGCAGTAGGTAACAGTTAAGACAGAAACTTGGAGTTGATCAAAGCACAAAGAGTAACTGTCTGTGGAGCACTCAGTGGGATATCTATACCAAGCATTTTCCTCACAAGGCTCAGGGAACATCACAGAAGAGGAGGCAGAAAGATTGTGAGATCCAGTGGTTCAGGGAGGACTGGGATCAAACAGTCTCCCACACATGACAGGGCTGATGCACTTATGAACTCACAGAAAATGTAGGATCTATACAAGACCTTCACAAGATCAAGCCAGTCAACACTCCAGCATGGAAAGGAGAAGGATTCATGGGAAGTTGATGGCTTCTAGAGTAGGAAGGGTCAGTTTTCTTTAGAAGTGCAGTCACTAGTCAGTCATGCTTCAGAGGATGGACACACATACACAGCACAGCACAATACACATTGGAATCTGTGTAGTACTTTTTAAAAAATGGTATGAAGTTGGAGGCCATGTGATGGAAGTAACTCATCCTCTACTGACTTCTAGATTTGCTCTGATTCCATTTCCTTCTGAAGATGCAACAAAACCTGACTTTCCAGTCTGGTTTTTGTTGTTTGTTCTTGCTTAAGGACAGGATTCTGCTATACATTGTTTTTATTATTATTCCTCATAACATCCATAATTTCTTTTGATTTTTGGGTCACAACACAAAAGCCCCTAACGTAATTCTACCTACTTAAGTAAAACATCAAAGTTTTATTGTCTGTCTTAAATAGGAAGGGAACTATAAAAACTCAACTAACAAAAATCTCCTTTTGATATAACTCAAAATTATTCCTAGTTTCCTTTCTTTGACAATTTTGTATATTAGCCATTCTTATTTTAGGATTTTTTATTATTATTATATATCAAATGTACATAAGAATGGGTTTCATTGTGATACTTAGCCATTCGTTACCACCTGAAGGGCTAAAATAGGCTTCTTTTCCATTGAAAAAAAGGAGATGTATCTGTATATTCAGGCTAACATGAAAGGGGAAAATCTCATGGGGCTCCACCCCTAGACAAAGAATCACAGACAATTAATTACTGCTGAGAGAGGGAAAATTAGTCTTCCCCAGCGATGAGCCCCTAATTGGTTATCCAATACACAGAGGTCAGCCCTGAAATCATGTACTTAAAAGCAACACTAAATGAACTCAGCAGGTTGTATCTCTCTCTCTCTCTCTCTCTCTCTCTCTCTCTCTCTCTCTCTCTCTCAGTCTGTCTGTCTCTGTCTCTCTCTCTTTATGTGTGTGTGTGTGTGTGTGTGTGTGTGTGTGTGTAACAAAAGTAATCAAAGAAGAGAGGCCAGGAATTTGAGAAGGAGTAAGGGGGATCACATAAAGGTTAGATGAAGAAGACATAGGAGAGATTGGAGGGAGAGGACATGAAAGAGTTGGAAAGAGGAAAGGAAGAGGAGAAATTATATAATTACATTTTAATTCAAACTTTAAGAATTTTAGACACCAGACTGGGACTCAGATTAGAGCATTGCTCAACCTTTATCAGAGAAGCTTCTTCTTACCTTAAACAGCAATTTAGCCAAAAGATCCACAATTAGACCATGTGCAGACACTAAGAGACACTGGAGCACACCGCCCCAAACAGGAAGTCTGTGTCAAACCCTCAAGGCTCTGGGATCTTTGTGGAAGAGAAGGTGGAAAGATTGTAAGAGCCAGAAGTGGTGGATAACTCCAAGGAAAAAGAGTCTTGTAGACACAACAGGGCTGATGCACACATATGAATTCATAGAGATTCTAACAGCATGCATAGCATCTACACAGGCTCCAACTAGACAAGATCCCAGCAGTGAGAAGGGAAAGTGGACACAATGACCCATCCCTAACCAAGAAGCTGTTTGTCATTGATACCTGCTAAGAAAAGGAGATATCCATTTTGTTCAATGAAGTGTCTCTGGGTATAATCAACCACACTCCAGGGCAGGACCCATGCCCAATGGTAAATAGCCAACACAAAATGGACTCCATTTTTTGTGTTTACTTTTGTTTTGTTGTTTTTTAGTCTTATTGTGGTTTTTTAGTTAGTTTTTCTTTTGTTTTGGTTGGGGTTTTATTTTTAGAGAGAGAGAGAAAGAACATGAAGTTGGGCTGGTAGAGAGGTAGGGGGCTGCTGGGGGGAGTTGGAGGAGGAAAAAGAATATGATCAAAATGTTTTATATAAAAAATTTTAATTATAAAATAAAAAGTTTACTTAAAATGTTAAATACATAACATTTTAAGTCACTGGTCTTGGGATAGATCTCTAAACAGCATTCTCTTAACACTGTTTTATTTACTCTTAACTCTAGAAATGAGACAGGGAGATGTGTGTCTTCATTCTGAACACTAAGGAGCTAGATGCAAGAGGATTCTCAGTTCGAAGTCAGCCTGGTTACGAAGGGAGAGCTTCTCATAAAAGAAAGAAAAAAAGAAGGGGAGGAAGTTGAGGAGGGGAAGGAAGAGAAATGAGGGAAGACAGAAGGAAGGAAGGAAGGAAGGAAGGAAGGAAGGAAGGAAGGAAGGAAGGACAGAAGAGAGAAGGAGGAGGGAGACATAACTAGCTGGATCACAACCATTCAACTTTACAGTTATCTGCCCTGGGCTCTACATCCAATGCTCTAAAATCATAGGACTTCGCTATAGTTCTATAATAATATTTTTATCAATTTGTTTTTTGACAGTTTCATACATGTACATAATACATTCTGACTGCTCTCAGTCCCCACACTTTCTCACCTCCTTCCTACCCTGGTCATGTTTTCCTCCCCTTCAAGGCCCCTTCCCATGTTCATGTCTTTATATAATACATTCTCAATCCTGCTGACCAATATACATGTATATCCAATAGTAATCTAACTTAACCAAATCAATTAAACTAATTAACCAAATTAAACTACTTAATCCTACTTAGAATATGTTACTATAAAATCTTGTTTAAGTAGCACATTCCTAAGAAACTGGAGAAAACTATTCCATGAAAATAGACTGAGAAGGGTGGGGCTGTAGCTCAGTGGTAGAGTACTTGCTGCATATGCATGACACCCTCAGTTTGCTCCCTAATACTGCCAGAAAAAAAAAAAAACAGACCTAGAGATTTTTCTGCTTCCTGGCCACTGAGAGGTGAGCAGCTTTGCTCTATTCACATTTCCTATAATGATGCTCTGCCTCGCCACCCCAGATCTGTAAAAATATGAGCCAAAGTCTATTGTTTCTCCCTGAGTTGATTTTCTGATATCTTATCATAGCACCAGAACACTCAATAATACTGTATTATTTAAGCACACTGATGTTTCAATGACTTCTAGTTAACAGCTTCAGAATCAATCAAATCCTTTGATATTTCCAAACATTTTCCTACAAATGCTCTAGAGAAAGAAGAAATAGGGAACAGAGTAGAAACAGTTGCCTACCATACCTGAAGCTCTAGAATTTGATCCCCATGCTCAAACATATATAGCAGACCTAGATATAATATTTATATAAACACAAGATAAAATGTAGTGGCAATGTGGGTTTCTGGTCTCACTGATACAATGACAATTTACAATAGTCCAAGCATCTTCTGAAGCACAACATACCAGAGCTCCAGACACTGGGCACTCAAAACTATGGTGTGAACTACAGAGATCCAGACACTGGGGTGTGAACTGCAAAGATCCTATGACTTATGAAACTTAATCATCCTTCACAGGTGAGGTATTCTATGCATTCCATGGAGGAACACATCAATTTAAATTAAACTTTTGGATGTTTGGTGATTGCTGGGAAGAGAAAAGCATGTGACATCATGTTCAGCATAATACAAGTAGAATATGAATATCTGATAGAAATATTTTCAAGAAAATGAAATCACTGAATTAAATTTTCATTTAATATTGATGCCCTGTATCATCAAAAAATACTTAGACACAAAATTACAGATTGGCATCTGTTTAAAACATAATACTTAGCATACTGATTATATTCATTCAGGAAAAAAATCACAAAAATGTTCAACATAAATCAAGAGTATATAATACCACAAGCTTGTGATAGAAACATAATATTTAAACATAAGTGAACATATCTTTAATATTTTGTGGATAATTTAGTCTGTGAGGGTGAGTAAGATAGCAGATGACTCATGGCTAAAAACTGTTTATTTCATAAAATTAGGTATGATGGAGAATTAATAGAAGGTTCTATGAAGAGGATTAACCCTTATAAAGCTTGCATCTTAAGCTTTTAAAACTCATACTTTATAGCTGAGACTATTGCTCAGTGAGGAAAGAGCTATGTGTGAACATGAAGACCTGGGTTCAGGCCCAATACCCTTGTAGAAGCCCAGGAACAGCAGCAGACACTGTGACCCCTGCACTGGATAGAGGTGTTACAGCAGGGGGAAACAAGTAAACCACAGGCTTGGTGGCCAGAAAGAGATCCTGTCTCAAAAATAAAGTGTAGAGCAATAGAAGAAGACACCAAACCTTGACCTCTGGCCTTCTTGTGTACACACACACACACACACACACACACACACACACACACACACACCATACTCTAAAATTTTAATTCTGAAGAAATCAAAGATAAAAAACATATTTGAAAGCCACCTATTGATTGCTCCTTGCCACCCCTTTTTCTGCAGCAGCAAATACTTGCTATGCTTTTTGTACCTGGAAAGATGTTTAAAATAAGGAGTTTTGATGCTAGTGGTATATATATGCTTTTGTTGAAAACATGAAATTCTGTCTTAAGTGTATCAATAACATCTCTAACTTTATTTCATCATATTACAGTATATTTTTGGATAGATACTAGGTAATAAGGAATATTGCAAGGAAATTATCTACATGCTAAAATAACCACATTTGCCATTTGGTAACAATAAATTTGTTTCAAATGCCACTTTAAAAACAAATATAATTCTTCCTACACATTTGTTTATATTCAATATAATATAATGTCTGACCCCAGCACTGTATGAGCCAAGCACATGTTTTTGTCCTGCCTGCCTTTACACAGCTTGCCCACCTGTATATAATAGTAGTACACTATTAAATTAGAGCACATGCAGGTTCAAAGAGACACACAGTGAACTTTAAAGTTCATCACGTCAGGACCAATAATCAGTCATCTAAAATAATCCTGCCATATCATATTTTCAACATGATACTACATACACCTAATAAGACAACATATCAGAAGCAAGTGAGTCTAACTAAATATATTGTCTCACTCATCTTTACATCTGCAGCTTGCATAACATTGGTTTGTGATGCAAAAATTCTCACAGAGACACCTAGAAAATTCTCAAAGGATGAGTTCTTGGCCCTTTACTAAGAATAATTTTTAAAAAACAAGAGTCTTGGGACCCACAAAGAAGTAAAGTTATAGACTGCATTAGGTTTTCACAATGCTCCAAAGATACAATCTCATGAGATCACTTTTCCAGTCAATCTGGACTAGTGTTTCTTTTAGAATCCTGGTCTGTCTATATAATAAATTTGAAATGGATGGCCTCTAAGGTTCCTTCAATGCTAAAAGAATGCTGTTCTCTTGACTTTGAAGTATCAGAAATCTCCAAGTGGAAATGGATTAGCCCCAGAAGTCCTTAACATTTTAAATGTTGCACCTTCACATAAAACATCAATACTCACATCAGACAGAATTCTATGCCAGTCCACTCACAGTATGGTGGAGCACTGGATTGTAACACTCTCATTTCTACAAAAAAAATAGGAGTTGAACATGGTTATGCCCCAGGAGACTGATGCAGATGTGCCATGCTTTGAGGCCAGTCTGGCAACAGAGAGTTCAGAGAGTTACATAGTATGAGACCCTGTCTCAAAAAGAGACTAGAGATTAAGGGAAAGATATCTAAAGAAACAGTCTACTGCAATTCAAACCGAAAGGAGGAAAGGAAGTGAAAGAATGAAGGAGCAGAGAGGGAAAGAAGAGAGGAGGGGAGGGAAAGAAAAGACAAGGGGGTGGGAGGGGAAAAGAAAGGAGGGGAGACATGTGTACCATCCTTTAAAAAAAAAAAAAAAAGACTCCACTGGTGCTGGCAGCAATAGTTTCAAGAGCATGAGAAATTAGCAAAACTTCACCTGTAAAGCTTAACCTGGAGCTTTAATACCACCATGACCTTTCATCCTACAGGCAGAACCTTCACAAAGCTACAGACAAGGCACAGTGATGACGCAATTACCGGAGAGAGTGAAGTTTCTGCAGAAGCTTTAAGCTGAATAGGCTCAGTGAGGAACCATCTTTTCCTAAGCCCAAGCAGAAACATGCTCATGTTTTTATAACACAGAGTTCCATGATGATGGAATGTTGCCTATATGTTCAAAGGTATCTTAGATGTGCTTTGCTTTTTTCTAATTTTGAAGCACTGATATTGACTCAATGAAATCAGTAAAGGATCTAAGAATGGATATGCTTTTTATAAAGGAAGAAAGAAAAAGATTTGTAAGCTAGTAAAAGTGCCCAAAAGTAATGGTATTTTTAAATATGTTTTCATACTTGATACAATTCTTTTTTAAATATGTGTACTGTTTTGGGTGTGGTGTGTGTGTGTGTGTGTGTGTGTGTGTGTGTGTGTGTGTGTGTGTGTAAGAGAGAGGGGGGTATTGCACCAGATTGTGCAGAAGCCCAGAGAAATCAGAACAGATGTAGGATTCCCTGAAAGTGGAGTTACAGAGTCATGAGCCACTATGTGATGCTGGGAACCAAACCTAGGTTTTTTGCAGGAGCAACAACTGCTCTTAACTGTCAAGCCTTCTCTCCAGCCCATAAATGATATCGTTCGTTAGCTGACATACTGCTTTACACAAAACTCCAGAGCATAAAAGTCTAACCTATGCTCTAAAAGCAAATGATAAAACTGCTTATATCTCCTTTTGAAGGATGATCAATAATTTCCAAGTTTAGTCCTAAATGATAAATAATTTTAGTTTTCCATAAAAGCTGCAGTAGAGAATGAGTAAAATCCAGGCACTGGTTATCAAGCCTTTGTAGTTGTAAAACCTGCCCAATCTTACTTAGCAAGTCATTTATATCTTACCATGCAGGAGCATAGTGTGCTCTCACAACCAAGGAATGAGTCTCCCTGAGAAAAGTGCTATGAGCCAATCAGTTGTTAATACTTTCTTTTCTCAAAGTATTTGGTTAGATATGGTGTTGGGTTTTTTTGGTTTGTTTGTTTGTTTTTCACTTTTGTACAGGACCTGGGCCACATTAGTCTCAGCTCCTGGGACTTAAACCTGCAAGTGTTACTTTCCATCTTGCCAACATGTTACTCTCCAGGTCAACCTCACATGAGGCAACCATCATAGATTGTGAAGGCACAACAGGTGGGTCATATCAAAGGTCACAGTAGTTTTGTTCACAGGCCCAGACATGAGGTTTCCATTATCCTTAATAGAAACAGAAGCTAGCAATAAAAGCCTATCATTGAAATAACATCTCTCTCCATCCATTCAGATGCGATAACACACAGAAGAACATTCCAAGTTCTGCTGCTGGCTATCAGGACATGTTCATTTTGTTGTGTTAGTTATTTTTTTTTAAAAGTATAAACTTGATAGCCTTTCCTGAAGAAGTAGAAAGGCTGATTATATTATAAATTTATATGAAATTTCCAAGGGTCCTGAGTAGCCAAAACATTCTTGAAAAGGGTCTGCATTAAAACACTAACACTTCCTAATCTCCAAATTTATCAGAAAGGCACAGTAATCAAATGTGATGCTGGCCTAAGGATGAGTAAAACTAATGGAACAGAAGAAAGAACTCAGAAGCAAGTCTAATCAGCCACAAGTGGATGTGCTCCAAGGCATTCAGTGAGGAAAAAGTGGTCTGTTCTATAAATGTAAGGAAACTGGAAATACACATGCAAATTCTCACTTCACACCATGTGCAAGAAATATTATTATAAAATGTATCAAAGTCCTAAACTTATGAATTAAAGTAAGAGTCCTTGGGTAAAAGCCCAGGGGTGTATCTTAACATTCTTGGACTTGGCAATTATTTCTTAGCTATAACACCAAAGGGGCTGTGCGAGAACTCAGCAGTAAAATACTTACTATGCAAGTCTGCTGATCTGAATTCAATTCCTAGACTTTAGGTAAAAGTGGAAGCAGAGAACTAACACAACTAAGATGTTTTCTGACCTTCACAAGCATATGGTGGTACATGAGCATCCATACAGACATCACACACACACAAATATATATATATATATATATATATATAATGTATATATTATACATACAATATAATATACACATACAATATGTATGTATAGATACACATAGACATACTATATACACACTATAATAATGATAATTTTTTTCAAACACTTGGGATGGGGAGGTGCATGGACACTTGGAGGGCAAGCCATATTTCCCATTGTGTGGCCTGACTGCTCCTACCACCAATACCTCAACTCAGAAAAGTCTTCTCAAGCCCTAGCCTGTGGCCTTCAGTGGCAGCCCGACCTTGACATCCATTCTGCTTGCTTCCTTCTCTTAGACTCTTCTGTGAACCTATAAACTCTTCCAAAAGCTCAAAAAAATAATGATAATTTTAAAAAGATAACACCCAAAACACAAGTAACTAAAGAAAATAGATGTATTAGACTTCTTCAAATTTTAGAACATTTTAAAAATATTTTATTGTTTTTTAATTACTTGTCTGTGAATGTATGTGCCCATAAGTACAGATTTCACAGAAGACAGAAGCCTTGGGTCTCTTGATCCTACAGTTATGGACAATTGTGAAACACTAGGTATGGACACCAGGAATTGAACTCAGGTCCTTTGCAAGAGTGATACGTGCTCTTGTGTCATCTCTCTGCAAGAATGATAAGAACCATCCATCACCCAAGTTTAGGAACTTTTGTTTATAAAAGGACACTACTGAACTTGAAAAGAAAACCCACAGAATGTAGAAAATCTTAGCAAAACACAGTACTATCGAATATCTAATATCCCAAATACAAATGATCTCTTCACAACTCAACACTGAAAATACATTCTTTAGCTCAGTCCTTTCCCAAAGAAAATATACAAATAGACAAGAAGCACATGAAGAGATGTTCCATGTCACTGTACATTAGGAAAATATAAGTCAGAACCACAACAAAGTACCACTGAATGCCCACTATGAGAGAAATCAAAAGCTTCTGTGCATTGCTTATGGGAATCTTAAAAACACATCCACTGTGGAAAACAATTTCACACTTCCCCAAAAAGTTAAACCCAAAATCACCAGATCTGGCAAATCAAAACAGGTGCTTGGAAAAACTTCCATGTGGACACTCATCACAACTATGTTCATAACAACCAAAAGGTAGCCACAGCCCATTTCCATCAACAGGAGACTGAGTAACCAAAACCGAGGTACTGCTGTACAATGGAACACTATTCACCCATAAAAATAAAAGCTCATCCATGGTACAACATGGATGAGCTGAAGAGACACACAAAAAAGTAAGCTAGAAACAAAAGAAGCATGTTTGTATGATGTCAATCATATAATGTATTTAAAATGGACAAGTCCAGAGGAACTACAAGATTGATTATTGCTTTGGAGGATCAGAAACCACCTTTCTTTTTGGCATATTAACTTTGGGTTCTATGAGCTTGTTAAAGTCATTTACTGATTGTAAGAATTTGCAGGTTCAGACTGGTGAAACCCACAGAAACAGCTGACCTGAACAAGGGGGAACTCTTGGTTCCCAGACCGATAGCTGGAAAACCAGCATGGGACTGATCCAGACCCCATGAATGTGGGTGTCAGTGAGGAGACTTTAGAAATCTATGGGGCCTTTTGTAATAGATCAGTACTTATCCCTAGCATGGGAATAGACTTTGGGAGCGAATTCCACATAGAGGGATACTCCCTGAGCCTAGACACAAGGGGGTGGGTCTAAGTCCTATCCCAAAGGACATGACAGACTCTGAAGACCCCCCTATGGAAGGCCTCACCCTCCCTGGGGGGCATAAAGAGTATGGGATTGGCAGGGTGTTAGTTGGGGGGGGTGACGGGGAGGCAGAGGGAACTGGTATTGACATGTAAAATAATCTTGTTTCTAATTTAAATAAAAATAGAGAGAAAGAAAATAGACAAAAAAGAAATTTGCAGGTTCTCTCTCCTCTCTCTCTCTCTCTCTCTCTCTCTCTCTCTCTCTCTCTCTCTGTGTGTGTGTGTGTGTGTGTGTGTGTGATTGTGTCTGCATGTGGAGACCACTGACAACATCAGATGTCCTCCTATACCACCTTTAGTTTTAAAACTTGTTACTATGTGAGTGTGAGGATATGGATGCTGCAGTTGGTGGGGTAGAGGTCAGAAGACAACTGTGGGATTGAATTCAAGTCATTGGGCTTGAACAGCAATTGTTTTTACCTCCTGACCATCTCACCAGCCCTCCACCTTTGCTTTTGGGACAAAGTCTCTCACTAAACCTAATGCTCACAGAGATAGTTAGGCTAGCTGGCCAACAAGCCCCAGGGATCCTGTTGTTCCCACCTCTCCAGTGCTTACAGAAGTGTACTACCATACCCAATTTTTTGCTTGGGTGCTAGGGTCTTAAAACGTGTGGTAAGTACTTTATTGAGTGAGCCATTTCTCCATCCCAGAAAAATCCACTTTTATTGGGCAATTATTCTATCAGAATTTGCCTCTAAAAGAAACAGTAAGTCAGTTTCACTAGGTTTTCTTAATTCAAAAAAGTATGGTCATATTGATAATGTACATGTAAATGATTTTACTATGAATTTTAAATGTCAATTAGGTGTTATATGAGAAAATAAAAGCAATTTAAAACTTTCACTACTTTGAAATTATCTCTTGCCTTTTGTGATGCTGAAATTACAACTAGCATTTAATTCTTTGATTTATAGCTCTTAAAATATTATATATATATATATATATATATATATATATATATATATATGGTATGTGTATGCCAAAGCACTCTTACAAGGATCACAGAACAACTTGCAAGAGTTGTATGGGTCCTGGGGATGAAACTCAAGGAGTTGGGCTTGACAGCAGACACCTCTATCAATTGAGCTATCTCACTGGCCCTGGTGTATGACTTTTTAAAAAGAGAACTACCAGGAAGATCATCAAATTTTGAGTCATGCATTCTCTTTAAAGTTATTTTCTAAAGATGGTTATAAATGAGGAAAAGTTAGCTGTTTGTCAGAAAAACAAAAATCTAGTATGAAATGCAATTTATATTGCCAGGTGTTTCATACATCCTTGGGAGTTCTGACTTTTAAACTACCAAGACTCCAGTTTGTTATCCAGATTGGAAGTTCTAGGGACACAGATGAAGTCAGTTTGTAGAATTAGCTAGAGTCTCACATTGGGGTCACCTATCTAGTGGATATTTAAAATAGAATGACTGTAGAGGCAGACAAACAAAGCTCTCCATCTGCAGGAGGAAGTGAGAGAATCATCCTTTTTAGTAAAGGCCATTTCCCTCGACTTTGAGTCACACAGTTTGGAGAAAACAATGATAGGTTGTGCCTTTTCTTGTTTTCCTGTTCTCT